GCTTACATGATCGAATGAGACATTAATGGCGAGCTCGAACTCTCACTCCGGCATTCCAGGGATGTTCCCATCTCGGTTCGCTGGCCGAGACGTGCGGTAAGCATGTGCATATGACCGGCATGACGGAACGTCGTGCCCTGGTTCCCCGGTAAGGCGAGGACGAGCTAAGTAGCTACATATGCAGTGAGCCTTGCGCTGCGAACTGTCTGCGACCCAAGCTTGGGGGAGCAGATGAAACTAGGGCGTGGGCGTGATCCATTCTTGAGCTTGGTCGGTGGAGAGAAACATTCAGGGTGCTGCTGGTTTTCGTTGCTCCGTCGAAGGGCAAGGGTCTTTGAAGCTTCGCAGCCCATGGGCAAATGGGTAAAGCTCTAGGCAAATCATAGACCCAATAACAATTGGCTGCTTTACGCAGCCTGAACCAAAACGTCCGTATGTGGCCCTGTGGGTTGCCACAAACGGGGATGAATGGTCGGTCCCGAACCTGGAATTCATGACGGCTCGAAGCGCGGAGTCGGACCTGGTTCCGACTTCACGGATCCTGGGGACGGGCTTGTCTTCGGAGACATCGCACAGGAAGGTGTCAGGGTTGCGAAGCCCAAAGCGTAGCAATGGAGATTCGCCCCGCCGTTGAAGCTCCAGGCTCGATCATGTTTCGTGACTTTGCACGATGCAAGGACGTGATTACAAAGGTGTCAGCTATGGCCTAAAGGGCGGGAGCTAAGGTGAGATCTGAGGCTACCAAAAATCCGTACCCAGATCGCCCGTCCTTTATTTTCCGGCGCGATCTCCCCCGTTCAGACCAACAGCAGGAGGACGCGATCTTGAGAAGCGACATCAGCGACCGCCATCTACAACGACCAGGAGCAGATGGTCCATCCACTGCACCCCTTGCAACTCCCATCCTTGTGCCTTACCCGAGGCCTGGATGATGTGAAACAGTGCAAAAGCCAGGGTTGCAATACCGCCCGTCTTTTCTTTTGCTACATACAGCCTGCGGACTTCCGCCAAAACTGACATGTCAAATTCTGCTTGTCTCCAGAGTACAGACAGATGGAAAGATATTTCTAATGAAATTATGTCAATTTGCAATGCCCTGAGTCCCTTTGTACAGCTTGTGGCCAAGGTGGAGGACCCGCGAGGCTGGTGTGTAGTGAGGAGGCGTGAGATTATGCATTAAGGGTCAAGGATATGGTTTCTCTAAGACTGGCCTCCGACACCATCCATTAGGCCATTGGCTCTGAGCGTTGGCCCCCAACGCCCCATTAGCGCCATCTCCCTCCATGTGACGCCCATGATGAACAAGACAGACGACATGACGGTACTCATGGGGAGCCAGATCGTTGGCTGCAACATGTGGGCTCGCAATCGTGCAGATGCAATTGATTGATTACTTTGCAGCAGGTTCACTTTCTGTGCGACACAGCTTAAAATAGGTTCGAGAAAGATTTCGCGCAATGATCCTGTCACCTGTTGCACCTATGCATTTCTGCCCTACCACTGACTTCGTAAGGCATCATGTTGAGATCAGATCCGGCTGCCAGCCGAGTGAAGCTTCTCCAGCATGCTTGTAGATTGCAGGTTGCAACATGTCGGGAACATCGGGTAACGTCACCAGATAGACACTGGTCTCTTGTTGTCACCTCATTTTGACCGCATCGGGCCGAGTCTTGCTTTCTGGCCTTCTCTCTCTTCGTCATTCTGAGGGTGCTAATATTTTCTTATTCCACCAAGCCCTCGTTTTAGGCTATGTGGCACAGCATAACACCTCTCTCTTCTCGACCGGCCGCATTCTGTGTTACGTGGGACCCAAAAGAGACTCAAGGGCTTCCCAGACTTCGAGTCATCTATCTCGATGATAACGACCGAGCCACAGGCTCGCGAAGCATGCTGTGAAGCATATCGGTGGTCGCACAACGTGGTTAGCCTAGAACCTTTCTCAAAGCCGTCTTGCCTCAACTCTCCATAGGCCCATTGTGGTAGCCGAGAAACATGCGCTAAACCAACAGCATCTGTACCAGATCTCACCTCACTCCGTCGCCCTTGGATGAGCTGGAGTGGCCCCACCACGTTATCCCTGTCCTTACGACAAGGGGTCCTGGCACTCGCTCCTGATTAGGTACTACATGCGATTACTGATCCGTGTTGGCGCCGAGTGCTGATCCGATGCTGGAGGATTTCCTCCCGGGGAGGCTCCCGGTTTTTGATTCTGGTGTCCAGTTGCTGCCCCTGTATGCGTCGACGTTACCATACCAGATGGACGGATCACTGAGATTTAGCGTTCTGAGGTCGTTACCCAAATCAAGCAAGCGCCAAATCTAAGGCTGAGAGGAAAGTGCCAAGTCGAAGAGGCAACAAGGACGTCGCGAAGAATCAGTCGGGTGAATCAATGCTTCTGGTCCCCCTGCCTCAGCCCATCCTTTGTCCCATGTATTTGGGAGAACCTGGCCATCTGCGTGAGATCGCAGCCGCAGGAACGCACCCCACTAGCATCCAAGTAGTCGATCCAGCAGGCTCGGGAACAGCTGATCGCCTGGGAACAAGGCACGATCCTGTTGCCTTGCGTAGTCCAATCTGGAGCTTCTGTTTCCTCCGCGATATCTCTTCTCATCTCTACTCTTCGCCCTGGTCATTCTTCCGCAACAAACTTTCTACCTAGCATCTCTGATAGATCTCATCTTGCATCTGGACCGACCCGCCACACCGGTCGAAACCCGAGGAACATCATCATACTCCCTTTGGAGAAATGGTCCAGGGCTGCACCCACAGTGCTCTCGCTTAGTCCCTTACGCAGCCGCGCAGCGTTCCTTTTCCCCCTTCTCAATCCATCTCTCCGACCAGTACATTGTCGCCCTGCTCTTTGCTGCCACGACTGTCTGACTTTGACATTCCACAACCAGCCCATTGGGCTGCCAGCCTTCCGCTCCGGACCTTGCTTTCACTGTGGCACTCCAGAACCACCATCCCGCCGCCCCGTTTCTCTCGACAAGGCCCGACTATCTCTTAGCGTCTCCGATAATTTTCGGGCTCTCTATGAGAAGAATTGGCAGTCTCTTTGACCGGGCGTGTATCGGTGGCGCTGGCCTTTGGTGACGACAGACTTCGGTAGCCGGGCCTCCATCTACATGCAACGGAGCCGCCCCATCACATCGACCCGCGAGACCGGTCCCGCCGAATGCCCCCACCCTTCCCGCTCCCCCCCCCCCTGATGCTGCTCATCTCTCATCGTCCTCTTCGACCCCTTCCATCCCACGCCCATGGTACCTGATTATTTTCCTAAACTTTAAATAAACTCGTCCTTGCGCCCGCTACCATGGCCATGAACACGATCAAGCGCGTTATCCACACCGAGCCCTGCTCGCGCCACCATCGAGCCTCCTGTTACGCTCAAGACGTCTCTAACGGTCCTCCCGGGCAACTCGCATCCCTCTGCTATTCCTGCAGGTATTCTAGCCAGCCTGGCAACATCTTTGCCGCCATGGTCTCCATAGCCGTCCAACCGCCGACAGAGACCCAGACCTGCCGGCCCATATATCCACCTGTCGTCGCCCAAACGCATGTCCGCGCCGGCGGCCGCCACAACAACACGCACCTCTTCGCGACAGCAGCACTGCTCGACGACCAAGGGCGAGTACTCGACGGCCAGTTAGGCGGCGCCCTGGTTGCGACAGGTTATGCCGTCGAAGACCGTGGCTCCGGTAGCAGGCAACAGTCTGTTGCCTTTGCTTTTCCGGACCTAGCGCTCACATATGCCGGCGTGTACTCCATCCGTGTAGATGTATATCGCGTCAACTACGATGATGGAGACACGGACAACGCGACCATGATCGAACAAGCCGAGACGGAGCTGTTCTATGGGTTTTCAGAGGCCGTTGCGGTGCAGAGGCCAAGTAAGCTCGCCCCATCCCCCAATTGCATGCACAGTCTGGTAATCGCTTGTCAATCATGCTCATTCTTCTTACTTAGCATCAGAAGAGAGGTCGTTGCTGCGCAAATTGAGGCAAAGTGGATGCGATATCCCAAGTACGCCGACGTGAGAACGACTCATGCTCGATAAGGTAACGGCCGAAGACAAACTGGGAGAGAGACTTCGCGTAAGCAGCTGAGTATTGTAATGGAACGTTGATGCGTCATGTATGGATAGGTATTTGGTTGATCACATGCCAGGGATCATGGCAAGCAGGCAAAACAAATGGGTATAGAAGAGGGGAGCGATCATCGTCAGAGGATGGGCACAACAGGACCCTACGACAGGCGATTTCATCTGGGTTGCCTCATAGGCTATCGGCGTTGAGTCATTTACTGTATCAACAGGTGACAATCTTAGTCGGGAACGAGGAAAACGACGTACGCACTTCCAGGACAAACTACAGCTTATAGCAATAACGTTTCTGGAACAATGCAGATCATGTTTCTCCAGGGTACATATTGGAGAGCCAAGAGAGGAATAGATCAGCTGTCCCGCATTTCACCTGAACTGTCGCAGTGGGGACTTTCTGACGATGATGCATCTGCTGTTAGCAGCCAGCAGTGCAAGTGTATTGCTGGCCTTCACACCACATCGAATTGCCGTATGGTCCAGCGCCCATGCATGTCATCATCACACAGAGCACCCCCTCCAAGCTGTTGGGCCATCTACCAACCCGCTCCTATTTCATCTCTCGTCCCGGAGAATCGGATTTACCCAGTAAATAGCCCTCACACCCTCTCGACCAAGACACCAACCCACCCACAAGTCCCTGTTCCCTGCACAATATCGATGTGGTTTCATTCGCCAGCGCCAAGCTGCAACGGCCGATTCGCGCTAGGGACTGAGAGCCGGTCCCGCCGGAGCGGCAGCTGGGTCGCATGTCTCGATACTCCCACCGATGTCCGCTTTCTTTTGCTTCCCGATTGAGTGTCGACATTTTCCTTGACGCCGTTGGCGTTCCCCTTCTCCGGGGGACTAGCTGTGTCTCAGCGGCGAACCGTTTGCTTGTTTTTAAAGTTTTCTGTCATGTCCTTTCCCAAATATCGGGCTCAGCCGCGGACGTGATGGGACCACCGTCCTTGAGACAGGCGGCAAAATTTTCTCGGAACCGTTGACATGCCACATCATTAGACAGCGCGCTTCACTTGGGAAAAAGATGTTCGAGACCCACTCAATATCTATTCTCAGCTCATGCATACATGCCAAAAAAGAAAGGAAAAAAAGACACCAACAATCTAGATGAACGCCGAATAAAGACCCAAAAATCAGGAGCCAAAGCTCCAGGTCTACTCCCAATTCTGCCAGACAACATAGTGACACCTTCAAGACAATCCCAATAGCTGCCGTCAACCGCGGCGCGCCTCGTACCTGATGGAAAACGCGGCCGTCCCGATCGTGTCGTAGTCGTCGAGATCCTCTGCGTCGCCAAAAAAAAAAAAATACGCAGCACCTTGACATGAAACTTGTAGCGACCGGCCGGGGCATACTTCTTACTTTCGAGCTGGCCATCTTAAGTGAGAAGGACGTTGGTGTAGCGCGTGATCCATCGGAGTGCGGGCACCGCAGACCCCATGGTCCTGACGTCGAGGAACTCGTATGTGAGCCCTTCATCGTGACTGCCGACGGGAATGACCTCTAGATACGACACACTGGTACCCAGGATGAACTCGAGATTGACGACGGGGAGAGTGTGTGTGATATGATCGGCTGTGTCCTGCGCAGGAATAGCGAAACTTGCATTGGCGATGGATCGTGTTGGCGTGTGTGCCCTGTAGACGAAACCATTGGCACTTGCTAGCCCAAGCGTCTCTCGCATGCTGCCGGCTGTCTCCATGTAGGGGAGGTGCAACACCTTGTCATCATACCGTACTGCGCAATATAGCCAGAGTACATAGGTAAGCGAGTGTTATCGACATGCTGTAGAAGGTCGAGAGACACTGTGACCTTCTCCTCTCTTCCCGCCTCGGCCGTGATGACAGGCTTGCTGAAGTGGAGAGTCGCATAATCGTCTGTCAGCTCGTTGGGGAAAGTGTCCGCGCGGCCGGTACCTGCAGCAAATGTGTAGGCCATGGCGACAGGACGGTGGTCAAGCGTGTAGGTAACTTCTGCATCTCCAATGTTCTCGATGCTGAATAACAACGAGCTAAGGTGCTCCGTATCGTTGAAAGCGAGACTCGGCACGCTGAGAATGGTGGTCATGGAAGCAGCCCCGTACGCTTGGATCAAGCCAGCTCGCTGCTGGGGAACGGGTGCGAGTTGGCTGGAAGCCTGCTTTCCATCATTGAAGAATTGAGACTTGGCTGTGGCAGCAAATATGTTGGTGAGTTCGACTGGATCAAGATGTCCGCGGATTCCGGTCATCAAAGCAAGAACACCAGACACGAGCGGAGTGGCCATCGATGTGCCACCGAACACGGCGCAGCTCTCCAATGCTCTTGGCCAGAGCAATAGAATATGTCCTCCAGGTGTAGCGAACTGCGGCTTCAGTTCAGCCTCCCACGTGGGATCCCATGATGTGAAGGTGCTGGCAAAGTCTCCAGTTATGGTGTTATTACCATGCTCAAGGACAGTGTCCGACTCGATGAGGTCGCTCGTCACCTTGGAACCGGCCGCTAGAGCCTGCAACCAATACTCGCCTTCTTCTGCAGTGGCCATGGCCACTGCAAGAATCCGAGGATGAGTCGACGAGACATCCTCGATGCCAGGTACGTTGTTGTAGAATATGATGTACTAAGCACCATTGTCGGCAGAATTTACAGCTTTGTCGTCATACGTGCAAGTTCCGCGGCGAATCAGAACAATGCGGTTGTTCAAATCAGGAGTGTCGGAAGGGGAGGGTCGCAAGCATCATCAAACACCTCGGTGTCAAGGCTCGTCGCGTAAAAGGGAAACTCCACGTCAGCCCACGCAGCAAGGGTGCCCTCATGCTAGCTAAAGCCGACCCCGCCATCGTCATCGATGCTGTATGTAGACTCTGTTAGTAGCTGAGGTATGTCTATCTTATGAAAAGAAACAACAACCATAAAACCGATGCCATCAGCTGGCCCAGAGGCAAAGAAAGGTCCCGATGCGCCTGAGTTATCCGCCGCAATGACGCAGGACATTCCTTGCTCAACGATACGCTGCACGATGACAGAATCCTCTTCTCGAGACCAAACCTGATCACCCCCAAGAGAAGCAGAAATGATGTCGCTTCCGTCCTCAAAGGCCTGGGCGAAAGCTGCAGCTATAGCGTCGCCGGGAGCCGTGTCATTGCAGCCGAAGACATCATAGGATCCCAGAGTTACATCGGGAGCAACACCAGCGAAGGCAGGCGGATTTGGTTAAGCTGCGATGGTGCCAGAGACACGGGTGCCATACCCGTCGCAGTCCATGGTTGGCTCCTCAACGTTATCACCGTCGACATAGTCACGACCGTTTGATACGAGGTACTCCTTTCCAAAGCAGCCTCCAAGAGCAGGGCAATTGAAGTCGATCTGTAGCTCGTCGGCTTTTCTCCTTCTTGTACCCGGCCCGATGGTTTTGTAGCGTCAATTACTTACACGAGTATGGATAACCGCAACTTTGAAACCATTTCCTGTGTAATCTGCGTCTCGAAGCATACCGACCTGCGTAATGAGGTGGGGAGTGAAAGCGTCATGATCACGACCGCCATCTTGTGTATCACGCTTCCGACACTCCTGATACTCTTGCCCGCTGTTGCCGGTCCATATGATCTTTTCGTCGGGCCGGCGATATTTTTTCAAGGTGCGGATTGACCTAACACCAGCCATCTTCCCCAGCTCGTTAGCTTTCTCCTCCGTCGTGTCGCGATCTCTGAAGTGAATCGAAGTGCCGTGAGATAAATTGTGATTTAGACCCCTCCTTCTGATTGCATGCCCCTCATATGCTTTATGGCCTGCCGCCGTCTCCTTGGATGAACAATTAGCAACGTTCAGGCTGTCGTCTACGAATAGCGAGTGTGACGGAGACTAGCCTTTGGCACCACTCCAAGAGAATGTAATTACAACATCATGCTCAAATTCAACAAGGTACGCACCCTGGATTGTTTGCGACTGGGGGGCAGCGCTCACAACGGTCGAAGCCGCTGCGAGTAGAGAACGAAAGATGTTGCTAGCTGCGAACCATATTGTACGTGACAAAAAGCTAGACTTTAGGTATTAACTAAATTTTGATTGGTGCTCAACGGCATGGTATAGATGTCGAAATCCAGGAGAGCATCATGACTGGGCTCGTGAGAGCCAAGCGTGAAAGAGACTGGGGGTGAGTCTCGCAGGATCTGCCACTCTGCCACGACGAAATCAGGCGTACCGGGTGATTGAGGATGAGCTGAGATAGAGGGTGACATCAGCCGCGACCCCGAAGTTTCCGGATGCATTCACATGTAGACTTCCTTATGCATTACAAGAGAAAGCGGGGACTCAACCTTTGTCGGATGTCTGCGCCGAGCCTCACATCGAGGCGCTATCATCAGCATTGCGATAAGAATCCTGCGGTGTGGTAAGCGGTGCAAAATACTGTAATAGAGGAACATGGATGCCTGTTTCCAAATGGATGCAACGGGGGATGGCCAAATTTCTAAACCACGCGGGGCACGAGTGCTGGCCGCCCAGTTATCGAGCGCCCACATGGCTTCCAGGACTGCGGTTGGATGCCAGCAGGGGCAAAAGTATCCTGTCGATTGGCGAGATGGGGAAATCATTGTTGTGACTCTCCCAGAGTAGCATCGTCGGTCAATGCCTAGGGCTGTGTCAAGTAAGCCCAAAGGCCCATAGGGCTGCGGCTGGACCTGGATGACCCTGTAGGTATCAAACGAATGCCCAATGCTGGCTAGCCGGCGAAGCTGCCTGGCCGAACTGGGCCAATGCCGGCGTACAATTTTTTTTTGGCGACGGGATGCTGACGACTCACCCATGGCAGTTGGATGCCCAGGCTCCAAGGACTCACCAGCCCCAATCATCGTGTTTCGTTGTCCTGTCCATAGAAGAGGTCCGTGTCGCTTTATCAAGTCGCTCGGCGTCCCAGATTTGATTTTGGGCCAGGGTTTACGTTTTTTAGCTTATTTGGGTGGTTAATGTTATGTGGTGTTGTTGTTTGTCTGCCTAAGACATCTTTCGTGCGAGGAGCTTACTCGACTTGGGTGTTATCGACTATGTGAGCTTGCATGGTCTCTGTGGGATGACCAAATTTGTTTCCGCAGTCTGCGTTGCCTGTCAAGAATTCGCTGGCTCGGCATATGATACAACTGTAGTACTCGTTATGTCCGTGTACTCAGCAGAGAGTCCGAGCAAGTATGAAAATAGAGAAGATGCAGTATGATGCAGGTGATTGTATTCATGTCGTGGCATGTTGCCCGATAGCGAGCCTGTTCTTTAACCTGACGAAGGTCGTTCCTCACTATTTCATGCGATAAACCTCTTTCACTTAGGCGAGCAATTCCCTAGCGACAGCGGGCGAGTTAATGTACGCCATACCCTCCTTGCGGTATGTGTCGTCTTCAAGATGGTTTTCTGTAGCATTCAAAACCATGTTGACCGGCTTGTCCAGATCATACCGGGGCCACTTGGGCAAGGCCATGACGTCCGTCGCATTGTGGCGACAGGCAGGGTTTGGGTCGAGGTTGTAGACGAATCTCACGTACGCCTGTCCTATTGTGCGGGCCAGCTTGACGTGAGAGTCATACGTGGGCGATGCGCCCAGTAGTCCGGAGATGTTCTGGAAGCTAAAGGCGACATTGTCAAAGTGCTGCACGCCATCGACTTCGGCGCGATTCCAGAGTCGCTGGTCGAAGCGGTAGCTGTAAACAGGCTGCGACTCTCCGATGGGTCCAGCATATAGCTCGCACATCTTGCGGCGACCGGAGATCATGACTAGGTCGCCACCGATATCTGCTCCTCGACGCCACTGTGAGCCCCTCGATAAGGCGGGCAGACGGCTGCAGTTGGTGATGGCGTGTGGCGGCGCATCGCAGGGGTCATCGGGATAAAGCTCGAGGAGTTTACGGATGGTTGGAGATGATAGTGAGTAGGATCGCCAGCTGGCAAATGCATTCTGGAGGTCCTTTGCCGTCTCGGGTCTCGGAGAGGTCGGCCTGAAGTTGATACCCTCGTCCGTGTTGTGTCCAATAAGCAGCGGGACCTTGACAAAGCTTCCTCCCGGCATCAGCTGGCTTGGGTATCCAGTCAAGAAGTCTCCATCGATGAGCGGGTTCCACACTTGGCTGGGGCGGGCAGCGAAAAGAGCCTCCTGGCTCAGGCCGCGAAGGCACGCCAACTGGTTCGAGGCCGTCCAACAGCCGACCGAGCGGGTCAGGTTCTCAACAGGAACGGTATAGTATGGCAGGTTCTGCACCTGAGCGCCGGTCGGACCGCCACTCTCCATGATTGCGCCCCTGTAAAGGCCATCATCGCGCCCGTCATAACTGAAGAGGTGGTAGGCGATGCTCTGGGCTCCGGCACTCTCACCCCAAATAACAACGCGATCGGGATCACCACCGAATGCGGCGATGTTTTCTTGGATCCAGCGGAGAGCAAGTCGCTGATCGAGAAGACCGGCATTGCTTGAACCTTCAGCCAACAATTGCGGCGTTTGCAGGAAGCCGTACATGTTGAGACGGTAGTTCATGGCGACAGCGATGACAGGTTGGCCCATGTCTTGGCTGACCTTGACAATGCCAGACAGGTTGTACTGGGGATCGGCAATGGAGCCAGTGTAGAGGCCACCGCCAAAGATCCAAACGAGTACAGGAAGAGGCTTCTCCTGTTTGCCGGATGGTCGAACGACATTGAGGGTGAGGCAGTCCTCGGACATGTCGAAGTTGCCGCGATACTGCATGCAGCTGTATCCCTGTTTTGTCGCGTCTCGGACATCGGTGAAAGACTCATTGAGGCTTCGTGGCCAGCGCCATCTCAGATCCCCGATCGGAGGTTGAGCGAAAGGGACGCCCAGGAAAGCATCCTGGTCCCAGGAAGAGAGGTGGGCGCCCTGGTAGGTGCCGTTGACAGTTGTTGCGAGGGGTGCCTGTGCCACAACGGCCTCACAACAGCAGAGGGCCGCCCACAGAAAAGATCGGACATGCATTCTAAGTCGGCTCAAAAAATCTGCAGGTCGAGAGTGCCAGAGAATCAAGACTAAACAGGCCGCCTGGCAGGTAACGACGGCATACTGCTCATATACCTCGAGCCCTGCCTTGCATTCTCCTTTGGTCCGCCCATTTGATATCGAAGGGTAGGCATCTTGTCTAGCGGTCTATATCGTCCATGTCGAGGTGATTGGAGGAATTTCCCAACGACCGGGGTCTCAACAACACGGAAAGACAGACGATGAAGCAACCCCAGCTAGATGCACTGCGGGGGATTGCCGATCCAGGCCCCGCGTCCGACGGGGGCGGGTCCTGGGGTACGAGGGCTCGACGCTGAGTGGCCGAGTTCGGGCTCAGGAGATAGTCAACTTTAGAAGCCGGACGGAAATATGAAGACCTGGCTGGCTCCCTAACGGATAAACTGAGAGGAGGCCTTCCTGTTTTTGAAGTGGAGTTTTTACAAATGTCGAGGTTGAAGCTGCATTGCAGTGAGGGAGGCCATCGACTTTACGGGGGGCTATGTTCGCTGAGTCAGCGCTGCACCTTTCAGGTCGGCTCAAGTTCGGCTGGCCATCGGCTGCTGAACAATTGGAGCTCACTCATTTGACGTCAGCCGGGCAGGGCAGAGTAAAGAGATTCTCGCAATTGGCCCTGCAGCGCCTGAAGCTTCCCCAAGGCGATCTATCTGCCCGTACCTCACGCCACGATTCCAACAATCTGCATCACCCCAGCGTCTTCCATCGCGATATCCCACCTCCCACTGTACGTCAACCAGGTCGAGACTCAACATGATCTGCCGACTCTGCCAACGGGCCCTGGCGCACACGAAGCCCTCGCCGTCCCACATCCTCCGCGCCGCACCCTCGTTCCGCGTTCTCCCCACACTCTCCCAGTCGCAAGGCCTCCGCACCGCCCAAAGACAGCCCGCCCGCCTCGCGCCCCAAGCTCGTCACTACTCCCAAGCCAGCGCTGCCGCTGCCGCGCCGCCGGCGCTCGAGAAGCCCGACTATCTCGACGAGGCCGAGGCCTGGATCTGGGACACGCTCGTAGCCGAGTTTGCGCCCCTCGAGCTCAACGTTCGCGACGTCTCCGGCGGATGCGGCTCCATGTACTCAATCGACATCACGTCGGCGCACTTCCGCGGCGCCAACATGCTCAAGCAGCAGCGGATGGTGAACAAGGCGCTGGGCGACAAGGTGAAGCAGTGGCACGGCGTGAGCTGCGGACCAAGGCGCCGTAGGAACCTGATGCTCGGAGACCGGCGGTGGAGAGGAACTGTACGAAAAGTGTATACTGCGGGGTTGTCTTTGGCTGGGGAACCTGTACAACAGAACATGGAAACGACGCTGCACTGCTGGACACAGCTCGGGGCCTGACTAGACATGAGCATAGCATGTGGCAGGCGAGAAGATGGACTGCACTCTGACCAGTTTGCAATGGGTAGAGGCAAAACGGGGAAAAAACGCTGCCAGTGGGGAATTCTTGCTAAGCTACATATAACCGAGAATAATATGAAAGCTCAATACAAAGCTCCCTCACACATCAGGAATATAAACCGCGATTTCACAACGCAAGTGAAGCATCAACACCAACCACCACGAGCTTCGGCGCCCTTTTCCCACCAACCTCAAAAATGAATTCAAGATCGAAAGAACAACCAAAAACATACAACATCAAGGATTCGCTGGTGGTCACCCACCCAACTACTAGTTCGACCCTTACTGGCTTATCTATGGGAGAGCGGACGGGATCCCGAGTTCTCCAGTAGGTATGGTCGTATGTGCTGTAACGCGAGGCTGCGCAAACCTATGCCTTGATGTTGGAAGCCATCCCGAGGCTATGTTGAAGGTGGACCCATTAGCATCTGTCTGACCCAATGTCTCAAGTCCCAGCATCAAATTGAACACGTCATAGCTGTCTCTGTAAAGGATCGGTCCAGCTTGAGTTAATCAATACTCGCTATTGTTGCATTCACGCACAAGTGGCCCCGAAGCGACAAAGTGGACGCTGGGCATCTCGTCCCTCCGAGGGGAAGACGCTTTGGTTGATATACTTCTTGGCCCTCGTACCAGTGGCGGCAAGTCTCGGCTCACGGCAGTGTCACAGGCAGCACCCATTTTTAGGGGCTAAGGTACGAGCAAAAACGAGAAACATGGCATAATGGGGGTCCAGGAAAAGAGACAAGAAGGACAAAAAAAATAGGCTACATGGCGATGCAGTCTACGGTCGGACAGCAAGCATCTCACTGTACACATTCCCCGCCGAGTACGTCGTACCAGGTCATTCATTGACTGTGGCCGATTCCAAGCGGTGGGTGATGCCCAAAACAGGTCATCCGTGCCCTCTTCCAGCCAATGCGGTGGGTCGCCGTTCCCCGCCCAAAGATGCAAAAGCTGGGGAAGAAGGAACGTTCCGAGCTTCAAGGTCCCGTGCCTGCCACTGACGTTGCGTTGCGTTCTGTTCAAGGCAATGACCCATTGCCAGTCTTTGTGCCCCGCGCGAATCCGCGCCCTGCGCCTTCCGTCTCGGATGTTTCATCGGACCTGCCCGCCGGTCGTATAAGTTGGCCTGGCGCCCTTGGTTGATCGTAATTCTTACTTTCCTTCCCCCCAATCCCCTCCTAACAGGTTCTGGGCTCTACGTCACGATCTTCGGAAGTCCACCGAAGCGTCACCGAGTCCGTCCGTACAGTACAGTTGGCCCTCTGAGAGAAAGCCCCCTCGTGCCAAGACGTCAGGACATCAAGCCACCAGGCACATGCTTCACTTCACTCCCTCACACCCCGGCCCTTTCCCTCAACCCCCACACCGCGTTCCGTATCCGTAAGGTGCTGGCTGTCACGGCCCTATCGGACAACTTAGCTATGCCCTTCCGACCACTACCCCGCGGGTCCGTCCTGCGCAGCCTGTCAAGGCCCTCGCCGGCGAGCGCTGGGCAGAGTTTCGGCCGAGGGTCTATCAAGTGTGCATCGACCTCCGCCACCCGATCGACTTCACGATCTGGACCCCGTCACTTGGCACTTTCCTCCATACCAGCACCCATACAGCGCGGCATCCTTGCAAAGGAGGATAATACCAGGCGTTTTGCGGTCGAGCAGATCAGGAACTATGCCTCGACAGCGCCAGCCGCCATGTACACTGCTTCTTTTGCCTTCTTCGAAGCGCTCTGGGATGCAGGCGTCACACATTGTTTTGTCAACCTAGGCTCCGATCACCCAAGCATCATTGAAGCCATGGTGAAAGGCCAACGCGAGAAAAAGGGGCCGGTTCCCGCGCATGATTACCTGTCCCAATGAGGTAGGTCATCTATGCTGCCGCCATTCTAATTAGCGCCGTGTCGCACTAACACGCGGTCAAGATGGTGGCCATGTCCATGGCCGACGGCTACGCCAGGCTGACGGGCAAACCTCAATGTGTTATTGTCCACGTTGATGTCGGAACTCAGGGCCTCGGCGCTGCTGTGCACAACTCTTCCACGGGCCGAGCCCCAGTCTTCGTTTTCGCTGGTCTCTCTCCATTTACATTGGAGGGCGAGCTCCGAGGCAGTCGGACCGAGTGTATGTGCGCCAATTTCCCCTGCAGATAACGCAGGATTGAGGCTGACAATGGCAAGATATCCATTGGATCCAGGATGTGCCCGATCAGAAGCAGATTCTCGCGCAGTACTGTCGCTACTCAGGCGAAGTCAAGACTGGCACCAATGTGAAACAAATGGTGAACCGCGCTCTGCAATTCTCCAAGTCGGACCCTCAAGGGCCGGTATATCTCTGCGGTGCCAGAGAAGTCATGGAGGCTGAAATTGAGCCGTACTCCATCTCACAGGAAGAATGGGATCCCGTTGAGCTCGGCGGCCTGCCGTCAAAGGCCGTGGACAAGATTGCCGAAGCGCTGGCCGGCGCCAAGGAACCGCTAATCATCACTGGCTACGGCGGCAGGGATCACAAGTTCCCCGGCGCACTGGTCGAGCTGGCCAATGCAGTCAAGGGTCTGCGAGTTCTGGACACTGGCGGAAGCGACATGTGTTTCCCTGCAGACCATCCCGCATGGCTCGGCCTCAGGTTTGGATCAGACGAGGCAATCAAGACGGCCGATGTCATACTTGTCCTGAACTGCGACGTGCCTTGGGTCAACACGTTGTGCCACCCGCGCAAAGATGCTAGGATTTTCCACGTTGATGTTGATCCGTTGAAACAGCAAATGCCTGTTTTCTACATCAAGGCCGAGTCGAGGTACCGCGCAGACAGCCTGGCCGCCGTTGGTCAGATCACGGGATCAGCTCAAGTCAGACAAATTGGCGTCTCTGCTCAACAGCAAGGAAGCCGAAGACCCGTGGCATGCAGTTGCAGGAATCGTACGAGCGACGGCTAGCCACAATTCAGGCAAAGACGAAGCCCTCGGAGGATGGAGAGTTCGGCACTGGTCACCTCTGTCGAGAGCTACGCCCGCCTTTGCCCCGACGACACCATTTGGGCGGTCGAAGCGGTGACCAACACTGGCTTTGTGCATGACAACATTCAGCCAGTACATCCTGGGTCGTGGATCAACTGCGGCGGCGGCGGTCTAGGATGGTCCGGCGGAGGAGCGCTGGGCATCAAGCTGGCGAGTGCCGCTGAGAACGGCGGCAGGGGCAAGTTTGTGGTCCAGATTGTGGGCGACGGGACCTTCTTGTTCTCGGTCCCAGGAAGCGTCTACTGGATTGCGAAGCGGTACAACATTCCAATCTTGACCATCGTCTTGAACAACAAAGGTGAGTGCGATAAGGCTAGTGGGAGCCGGGATGCAGGGACTGACGCAGTGACAGGTTGGAACGCACCACGGCGGTCGCTTTTGCTCGTTCATCCCGACGGCGCTGGCGCTAAGGCATCGAATGAGGAGATCAACATTTCCTTTGACCCATCGCCTGACTACGCAGGCATTGCCAAGGCAGCGGCGGGTGGTGACCTGCTGGCTGCGAGGGTGGGCCATGTGGAGGAACTCGAGGGCATGTTGAAGAAGGCGATTGAAACGGTTCAGGGAGGACAATCGGCTGTTCTCGACGTCAAGGTTACGAGTGGCTGTTGAGCGAACGAGCAAAAGCCGCAGGAGAGTGATGATTATCACCACACAAAGAGGGTGTTCGGGCCCAATACTGCCGTACATGGGTGCCGTTCACGAAGCGGACACAAAAATGTTTTCTGTTTGCGCCTTTCTGAGTGTGGGCGCCCACATGCATGCCTTGTATATGTGTACAACAGGTACCTTACCGACGGGAACCTGGCGCCGCGCCGTTTCTGACCCATCGTGGAGCCAGCCCGAGGTGCGAGCCACGTCGACTCGCATTCGACGTGTCTAGACCCAGTCTGACAGGCCGTGTTCGAGGGACATCGTGACCTTATGCGCAGACGACACGAGGAGGGGTAGGTCGAACCCGAGGACCAGGTAACAGCTGCACAACTCGTATCTGCAGTTCAAAGCCCCATCCCATCTTGCTCGCTGCTTCTGCCTGTTGGACTGTGTTCGAGACCGGCGGATTGGAAAATTGGTCGTGAGCTACGTTTTCGCAAGCTTTCGGGGGGCGGCGAGAGAAACAGCCGCATGGACTCGTCCGAAGTCAGAGGCTTGGTCCCTGTAGGCATGGCATGGCCCCTGTAGGCCTGGCATGGCCCCTGTAGGCCTGTGGTCCTTCTGAACCCTGGTGGCCCGCCATAACGTTCGGTGTCAAGCGACGTGGGCATGGAACAGTGGGAAAGCGCGCCATGGGAGAGGGGCACGTTAGGGACATATTCGGAGCACTGCCGCTGTTCAATTCGGGGGAGAGGGGAGTGGAGAGTGGGGAGGCTCGTTGGAGCCGTTGGAGCACGAGGAAAACGAGGAAGGTCCAGGCAGGAAGGAGCAAAACGGTCACCGGGCCTTCTTTCCCTGCCAGCACGCCGACGGCACCATTATCTTAGGCTGCTGGGAGGGGAGGCCGGGCAAATCACATTAAATAAGAGATTAGGGCCTCGGTCTTTCCCCTCTTCCATCTGAATCGGGTCTCGTCCTGTTGCTCTTTCTCCTATGAAACCAGCCGGCATCGCCAGCTCTTCCTTCAACGTTCAACCGAGAGGCCCTCAACGATCCATCCCGGCACGGGACTCCGCGGTTCACCTGTCGTCGTAGCGCTCGCTGCCCTGGAGGCACTTTGCCTGCTACCTTTCACAACCCTTAGCCGATGATCGACAGCATTCGCCACGCCTTTTGTTGTGGTTCCTGCATCTCACCAACCTGCCTTGCCTACTGAGCGGCGATACCGATATGGCGATCAGGCAAACAACCTGATCAGACCACAACAACTTTTCGATTGACAAGACCGAAAACCGAACGGCGCTCTCTCTCTCTCTCTATTTTCGCAAATCAACATTTTCCGTCCAGTAATCACACGGCTTCCGGTACCACAGCGATCAGAGTAGCCAATCTATCGCAAACTATTGTCACCGGTGCCTGTGGAATGAACAGCCAGGCAGGCGACAACGTTTCGGTTATCAAAGGACCATTATTCGCGTATGCCGCCACCCCGCCCGCTCTCCCACCATACGCCAACCTTCGTCCCCTCACGCGTTTGCTCGGCTGAGTTCGAGACCTCGTCTCTAGGCCTTTTGCCAACGCCTCCCGGCTTGCATCTGCGCGGCACCTCTGCACCTGTGCTCCTGGCCTGCAGCGGCGTAACCGTCTGGTGCTGTTCCGCCCACCGTCGTTGCCGATCAGTTCCCATCTGCGCATCTTTGCCACCGGCCCACCATCTTGTATGTGCACCTTGAGTTGAATTGCCTTTTTTCAATGCCTGCCATGAGGGGGCGGAATTGGGGGATCAACACAACCCCGAGAGAACTTGCAGCTGATCGTAGCCCCGCACAAGCTCGCTCGACCCACGGACAGCCGACTTCATTCAAGCCGCGCCCCCCACCACGCCAGCCCTGGCATGCAAGACGGTCGAGACCAGCCTGCGAGAAACCTGTAACCGCCGCAAGGACGACCATATACACCAAGAGCTCCACTGACCCGGGCCTTATCTTCTCACTACCACAGCATCTTTATCCACGCCATTGGCCGTTCGCTGCCATAAGAACGGTCCACTTCACACCATTACCTCCGGAAAACGTCGTCGCCTCTTCCTGCTCGTCGCAGCCGACTTTGTCGCCATTGCAGCGTCTGACCTTCTTGCCACGCTTGTCCGCGCCAGCGCATGTCTGAGCCACCCGGAATCCGTCATTGTGAACAACATCCACGCAAACCAAACCGAGGCACGCGCACGAGACCGACAGACAGCAGCCTGGCAAGCCTGAGCCGAGCTTGAGCTTGAGAACATGACCGCTGCCTCCTTCCGCGCCATCATCAACCATATCAACGAGCTTCCTTGGGCTCGTCTTCAGCCGCCAGCAAGCGCACCTGCAGGATAGATCCGCCCAGCATGTCCTCCCACGGTGATGCGGTCCCCGAAGCATCGTGCGACTCTGGTTCGAGCGATGTCCCCGAGCTCCCTCCCCCGCCGAACCCTGCCTCCGATCCCAGTCTTCTGACGGGCGACCACGAGGATGACAATCCACGATCGCCGCCACCGCTACACGATGATATATTCAAAATCTCCCCGAGATCAGCTATGAGGCTGCTTAGTTCGGGCGTCGAGGCTCTAACACGCATAACTGGCGATATTCCGCCTACGCCACCCCCCACGAGTCCGACTCTGCCTCACATGCGAGGTATTCAGTTCGAAAAAGACAGCATCATACGGTCGAATTCGGAGAAGAATCTTCTACGCATGCGCCAGCAGGCCGAAGCTGCTGCCCTTGCGGCTCGTGAAGAGACTTCGGCGCCGCAGCCGATTGATGGTGTTCACCTTCGGCCAAGCTCCACCCCATCGCCGCACGGCCAGCAGCAGCATGAGCCGTACATCATAATCGGCGAGAATTCACAGCCATTGAACCTCCAGCACGGCGCCATTACGCGAAAGTTCTACTCCAAAAAACCGCCACCGATCAGCATCGAGGACTATCTTGCTCGATTACACCGGTTTTGCCCCATGAGTACCGCGGTGTACCTGGCTACAAGCCTGTACATTCATCGCCTCGCGGTCGATGAACGAGCGATACCTGTGACACGTAGGAATTGTCACAGGTTAGTTCTCGCGGGATTGCGCGTCGCCATGAAGGCGCTCGAAGACCTCAGCTATGCGCACGGCAAGATGGCTAAGGTTGGTGGCGTCAGCGAAGTTGAATTGGCCCGATTGGAAATCAGCTTCTGCTTTCTGGCCAATTTCGAACTCGTTGTCAGAGAGGACGCCTTACAGAAGCACGCCGATGTGCTCCGAGAGGGAACATCGTTCCATGTCCTCCGCCAGGGCGTTCCGACCCTGACGCTCAACCGAAGGCCCAAGGAAAGAATACTCACTGCCGAGGGCAAAAGAGGAATAAAGCAAAGTAAAGAGAGCCCTGCGAATCAACCGTTTGACTTCCCACTGGGGTACCTGTCGGTTGTTTGGGAAGCCTAAATGGTCGCCGCCCATGGCACTCCGCTGCATTCTCGCATAAAATGAAACGGCGTTGGGCCGCGTGTGGGGCCTTTACCAGGTCGGTAGGGGATATCTAGTTTCTTTTATGCATTTCGATACCCCGGCGTTGGGCACATTTGCTTCCGATCTCGCGTTGCCAACATCTTGGCAGCCCGGCAAACAGGTTTGCATAGCATAGCATTGCCTTCGGTCCATTTGTATTAGCCAGGTTTAGCCAATAACATTTTGAAGCTTCTCGTTACATTTTTGGCGATGTAGATGAAGATTGGGAATTAACATATGGGCAAGCACTATTATTGGCATGGTAGGTTCCTATATTGTAGTCCTTGGGTTTTATGTATTATTATTGGCGTTTGTCGAACCTG